CAAATCTCTTTATTTTGATATATTGATGTGCTGCTTCCACTTCTAGTTGGTTTGCTAATTTATGGTCTAGTTCGGTGTTAGTACATTGATCTTTGATACCATAATAATGGACCTAACTCTGAAATTGTAGATTTTTAATATGGCTACTTAATCCATAATATCTTATGTGAAAGTTCCATTATTTTCTACACCGACTAGTCAAATCATGACAGTCAGAGGTATGAAGTCTAGTAATTACGAGGAAAATATTTCGGGATGCGTATAGTGTAATATATTCAATGTAAAATACAGTAAGTTTTTTTAGAATGACCGTGTCTGAATAGCCGAGGTACACCTTCTCGAATCGTTGTTTCGGTGTTCGCCATTCACGATCTCCTCCAAGTGTTAAAAATTGAGTATTTAGTAATTATATATTCAGCTTTGAGAATCGTGCTATTAAAACCCAATACCACTACAGGTTCGGAATGTCTCTAACAATCTGTTCATCTGTTCTTGAATCTCAGTAAGTATCTTTCTCTCTTTTTCCTGACTGGTCACTCTGCTTTACCGTATTTCTCTAACAGTTCCTTCGTTGTGTCATATATTTGCTCCGTCCTTCCTTCTAGTGCACCCTTGTTCTCTGTCATTTCTAGATCACCCACGTACTCCTGCTTGTTAGCTCTAATGCACCTCTCATTTGTTTGCTTGATTGTTTGCATTCAGTTTGTTTCTTGACCCCTTCTGCTCTTGTACGTCTGTTGTTAATTGCTGTATTTTTGTTCATTCTTTCGTAAATCTTGTCCAGATTTTCGATAGAGATCCATTCCTTATGATGATGCTTGTTGCGGCTCAGCACTTCCTGACATGTTGAAGTTCGCGCTCTTTAATCCCTTTACAGTTGTACACCATAATAGTTTACTATTCTACAAGTACGCTTTGTAATATTTGGAATCTGTTGTTGAGAGTTATCTTGGATTGGTTGAGTTTGCCAGTAGGTCAAAGGACGTATGTGTTGAACCTGTGTAATGCTATTTCGCTTACAGTACAGTGCGTTTTGAGCCTCAGTTTCATCTTTGCAACTACCACGTAATGACCTGAATCTGTGTTAACTCCTCTGTTTGTTCTCACGTCCTCTATGGATATTCCGAAATTTTACTGGTGCAAATATGATCGATGTGGTTTTCCTTATCGCGATCCGATGAGACTCGTTTTGGTTTTGTGCATGTGTTTACTGGATTCTTTCCTAAAAACCTATTTAAGATCGACTGCGATCTCTCATAAAACATATTTATTGTGTTTACTTCCACCCTTGATGGATGCAGGAATTGTACCTCTCTGGTTTAGTTCTGTTTTGTCTCTCTACATCTCACTTATCCCACCTATAGTACAGTCCTTACCCAACTCCTACATATATAAGACCTTGGAGATAAAGTATCTAAGGTCAGAAATGAAAATAAAAAACTCGAACATCGAGGAAACTACTTCGCTATCCAATAAGTACTGATATGGATCGGTCTGCCCTTCAAAATTCTCACGGCTAATGTATCACATACGGTTTTAGGAATATTAGATGACGTCCTCGTTGAAACGGTCTCAATGCATGATCAAATACATCTACGCCTTACTCAGATATCATAGGCTTCCAACACGCGTAATTCATATCGGAATTAGAGTTTAGTTTCCTTTCATCTCCCTTTCTGAAGTTTTATTAAATATTTCCCCGTGGCTACATGGATATCACTAATTTTTAATTGAAGCAGAAAGCAAACTCAACGAATCTAACGACACTACCGAACTACAGTTAGATGCAAGTGATGCTCTCTGCTGTCCTAAAAAGTGATCGCTTGAACAACACAAATCTCTTCCGTACTCCGAGTAGTCTTGGGTCTATAGAGCTTGTAAGCCATCACCCATTAATGATGACACAATACAAAGTGAACACAACCTTATATTTATTTCTTCTAGTCAATTTTTCATCAGCTCATTACTTTCACATATACTTTACTTTGCACCGTTAATTTTGACACATTACCCGTTGCCTCATTCATAACTGATATATCACCACTTTTTCCCCACTACATGGACAAATATTTGTCTGCCGTTATACTTTTCCAAATGAAATAAATGTTTTTAAAAAAAACGCAATATACCACAGCAATTTAAAGCATTGCATCTAACCCTTACACACAGTCCAAATTTGAAAACGTCTATTAGGCTTGTAAAAAATACTCGTAGAAGTAGTGTCATCCGACAGAACAAAAAACATAGGGCATAGATTAGGACATAGTAGTATTAGTAATTTTTCCGCATCCAGTTTGAGGGCAAGTTCAAAATGCCACAAACGTTGCAGGGTTCATCATAATGAGCCACTCAGGTTGATACGTGAAATGACATAGAAATAGGGGGGTAGATTTCGCTACATAAGAATATATATAATTTTATGAGTAATCATAATAAATAGCATGCACGAGTCATTGTTAAGGGCGAAAACAATAATTTGCTACGCGGATTAATAGATAACATATTACCAAAGCAACGTTACTAAACAGACAGGAGAAATGAGAAATTTAGACAGAATACTGGTGCAGATAAACCAGCAAGTTAAGATGCAGGTTTGGTGTTGGCACTGCATCAAGAGTCAATAGTTGTTAAAATTTGTTTAAAAATGGCTCATTGTACGAACTTCAAAAAACACTCATGCACCACAAATTCCATCTTTACGTGTTACATTCTTGGCGCCGAAAAGAAGGAAAGGAAAATAAGCAGCAAAACGAGAAACAAAATACAGTTGATAAGCTCATTTTTTTAAAATTTTTTGAGATGGGAGGTGTTAAAATATGACTATTGGCAGGCGGAACGCAAACTGATCGATAAAGGAACTTCACATAAATCATATGAATTAAACAAAGAGTGTAAAGAATTTTAAAGGTAAAACAGGTCTTGAGGAAAGGTTGAAGAGCAAGGCTAGACAAATATTTATTGATCCCGGAAAACTAACAATGGTGTAAATTGTCTGAATCTCCATATGACTTCATCAAAATAGTCTTTCTATATTGATTACCCGTTCTTATTGTTATTGTTGGATGACGATCGTCAGGTCTGTGTTTTGGTGTCTGAAAATGTGTGTGATATGCTGACTTGGCAGAAAAGGTAAACCGATAAAAGGTAGAAAACGTAAATCGAAGAAGCAGCAAACATAGAAGGACAACCTCAGTATCTTCGAACGTTTGTTGCGTTACCGATTATAAAGAGCGAAGTCAACTAAAATATTCTGCTACACAAACGTAGGTGGATTGAAATTATCACCTTAACCACCAACGTTTGCTAGTTAGTAACTCTACCCTCACTCCTATCTAAAAGTAACCTTTAAAGTTTTACACCAAAAAAGAAAAGAGAGTGTAGTTCCTGATCAGCAAGCATTTATGTTGAGGAAGTTTACTTCAATCCACTCATATTTGTGGGGTAGAACGCTTTGTTTTTTGAAGCTCTTTATGATTGGGGATGTAACAATCAGTCAATGATGTTGACGTTTTTTTTACATCGCTACCCAGACTCATGATTCCACTTTTATGCTGGCTTCGCTATTCGAATATGATAACATATAACCCATGCAAACCTAGGGTTTAGCGTTATGACCTAGAGTAATAAAGAAAAATAATGAGCGATAAAAGATATAGTGATTAGCAAACAACTTACTTTCTTAACCTCATTTTTGATTTCACTGAAAAGTCTGCTTGATTCTAATTCCAACTTTCCACTCATTATTCGAACTCATTACACATTGTTTCACATCATGATTAACTGTTCTTCATTACAATACTTTCCTATCTGAAGACTTCTGCAAAAAACCATTCAGGTAATAGCAGATGTCACGAATTTTGCCCACTTATTTACCACAGCTTTGTCTCGTCCTCTACGAACGGTTAAACATTGATGTTAATTTGCATTCAAGTGCCTTGGTGCCTCATTGCTCTTTCATTCTTCAGCATCACATTCGCAATACAAACAAAGAACTTCCTATTGCGCCTTGATCGCAAGCATGAAGTACGTGTTTGTCAAAGTCGCAGTTTATATCAAAAGCTTTTTAATTATTACCCACGACAGTGATCGCAGATTATCGCTTCAGAAGCATCTGACGTAAACCTCAAGTTCGCAGAGACATTCGTAGACCTAGAGTGGAGAATATTTCCGTGAAACATTCTGGTTTAAGCAAATCGAAATTCAATACTGCCCGGCAAATTATGAATAGTGATAGAGAAATCTTTGCAAAACAATATGAAGAGGTGGTATTGAATACAAAAAAGTATGTACAAGCTAAGCTGAACTTACATGAACAGTGTTTTTCCGCTAAGTACAGTTCTCATGACAACGGCAAGCTTGTAAGATCAACTGTAAAATAAACAGTAACTAAAATAAAGAATTTTTCTTCGCCATCAGTTAAATGATACCTAGCGACTCAGGAATTACTTGCTGTCGAAAAGGTAAAATTATCACCTGTCAAATGGCCCCAGAGCAAGAATTTGACTGCATATAACAATGGATGTTCCTAGCGATTAAGAAATAAAATATTTCTCCCAATAAAAATAGGTTATGCCAATTAAGCCAAATGACATCATCCAGGAATAAGGTCACTCAATACAGAGGACTCTAGAAATCAAAACGTCGTTATAAAAAATGTAGGAGGCCTGCAAGTTAGTAAGGTTTTAGGAAACTTTGTCTCGGTGCTCGAGATTGACGGACATTTGGGATATGGCCTTACGACAAAGTAATCTTTATGAGTAGCTCACTCAAATCAGAAACCCTTTTCATTAGCACTGAAGAAGGCTGAAGCTAACTGTTCAGACTCATCGGTGGTCAAACTTATTACATTCAGAACACTGGTACAAAATACAATTGAAATTCTTATGTTCACAGTCGGATTGCATAAAAGCTTGTTTGTTATTTTCACGAATGCAGTTACCACGACTTCAGTGTCGGTGGGAATACAAATCGCCACTATGTTTGTTGAAAACTAAAATAAAATGGTAAGTCATCAAACATATATCACAAGTCAAATCCCTACCTCATTTAATTAAGCAAATTAGTTTATATTTTTATTTGGCAGTTTGTAAGTTTGATTTTGAAACTATTGGGGAGTTAAGAAATAAAGAACCCAAGCTCTCAACATCGGGGAAATTTTGGGAGTTTAGTGCCATTTCCTTAAATTTTACTATAGCGGCTTCCCCAAACTGGGTCAAATTTTCCCCGAAATCGAGAGCTTGGGAAACTGATATAACTAAATGCCATAAAAAGTTTTAACTTCACCTATATATTAAAGCAAGCCCAACTACGTCATATGATAAGAAAAGTGTTGTATTATGTGAAAGTCGGTGCAAACCCGCACTACATTCTCAGTATGCATAATAATCTCGTAAGATCCTGTGTACGTCCTTGAGAAGTGCTGGACCCGCTGCTCCAGACATGTCCTTTTTATAGATGTTTCACGGTTCATTGCCTGTCAACTACAGTGTGTAGATACTTCACTGTGGTATTAAAGTTTAACAGTGACGTCTCTCATGAAAATGGCTGATACTTTTCAATATCAATTTTAACAGGTGTTTGAAACTATAAGATAAATAAGTGACGTCGTAAAAACAACATAGGAACCCAGGCATCCAACTTTGGAGAAGTTTAGGAGTTTTTGTGCCATTTCCCCAAAGTTTACTATAGCGGCTTCCCCAAAATGGGTCGAATTTTCCCCACAGTTAGGAGCTTGGAAAAATAATACCGTAATGCTTTGATTTTCTTACCGGACTGTATCAAACAGTGAGTAAGCCTGTGTAAACATAGGTTTTCCTTGTAGAAACAAATGGCATTCACTAAAATAACCCAAAGAAACTACAAAGAAATTCGAGTTTCTCCAACAGACGTTATTTTCATGGTTTTTTCGTATATATTCGCATGAAAATATCAAATGAAATGTCGTAAGTGTGTAGTTGTAAATAAACCGTTGTAGCGTGGCGTCGAGTTGAGATCAACTATGAACACCGCTACCAAGAAACACGTGCCAAATAGATCAGAAGGCGTAAGAAGCTCGTTCCAAATGACTCCATAAAATCCACGAGAAGCCGAATACCAGAAGGCAATTAATGGACCAAGTCGAGGTTTATTTGCTGGCGATCTCGTGGCATCGAAACGATACCGAGGTCGTGCCAGGATACAACCTTGGTTACAGAAGGTAACCGAATTCGCGCGAAGTTACAATCGAAGTGTCAGTATAAGAATGGAAGCACAAAATAGCTGTCATTAGCATAGTCAAACAAAAGCACGTTAAAACAAACACTGGTACAGTTGGTTATAATAATAATTGTTTTTATTAAACCAGTCGTGTTCTCGTGATAAATGTGAGTCACTACACCGTCAAAATAAATAGCTCTGTAAATTTTCGACATCTGATGCTGACCTCGTTAGTTTCACTGGACTCACCTAGCTGAAGGCACTCGGTCGCGCATCCATAACAGGTCACGAGTGGGTACGTCGTGCTTCACATCTCATACACCCGACCGTTGTTGCTACCTTGACGTGGTGGTCGGGCTTGCCTATCGTGATGAAGCAACTGAGCTATACTGGCTGGAACAACCGTTCCTCAAGGTCCTACCATGTCAGACAGGTCGGTTGAAGAGCGGTAAGACTAAAAGCAACAAACCCAAGGTCCGAAGGCAAAGTCGTACTGCTGACTGTACAGAGGTGTGACAGCAGTAAGGTGTTTCCCTCGGACAACCAGCATCTGCAGCGATGCTGCCTTCCCACAAGGAGGGGTGGGGTTAGAAAAGGTCGACCCTAAAAATGCGCACCTCACGGATCTCCGTCTCCGGCGGTAAGGCCCCTTGGAAGAACGGAGCTAACACGTCAAAAACCTCCCACGAAAAGGCCGTGCGCGACCGGCCAAACCAAAACGTGGCATCAGTGCTTGAAGTCACTAACTTCTAGTCTGAGCCATGTTGGTAGATGCAGACTACTTGGTTGGGGTCCGCGTGACTATCGTAACCAATGGTTGGAGACTCTTGGTGACATGGCTCAGAATCGATCACAATGGCGTCGGTGTATACACTCCCTGTCTTCCCTTAAACTAAGAGATTAAAATCGCTTCATATCTTTCTTTCTACGAACCAATTCTTTCTTCTTGTACTATATCTCTATATGCAATCTTTCTCCTACATATTACTACCTTTGACCTAACCACTGCTATGAATCCGGTGTTCATCTTGTTGTGCTGATGCGGTATGGCAACCTGGACCGATGCACATATGTGCCTGGTCCTACGTTGTAGCTGACTGACATCTCATACAACCGCTAGCCAGCTTAGATTGATCACTTATTGATATATCGATAGTCTATCATATATATCTTCGAACCTCTTCACTTACGACTTTTCATTTGACTGGATTGACACGTTTTGATTAGGAAAGGTGTTACTGGTTAAGGTGCTGTCAAAATCCGAATACTTGTAGAATCTTTAGGTGTGTAGGACAAAAACATCATGACGATAAACTTGTTTGAAAAACTACTAGAATAACAGAGTTATATCACATTATGTACAAGCATATACATACATATTGCTTTTAGATAAAATGTTTGGAATCGAACTGATATACAGAAGCCAGTCCACTCCATTTATATATCAGGTTAATACTAGCCCTAGTAATGGTTTGAAAGAAGCAAGAGAGGCCCGTATATATTACTAATGTATTTGTAAGCAGTACTCATAACACTTAAATAACTACTTTGAGTCCTTAAACAGTGGTGAAAATAAGTATTTCGTAATGTGCTTAAAAATCCAACCACCATAAAAAAAATTTCCGTCAAAAGCGCCATGGATGATTTTGTACACATCTAATTTTGAAAAATTAACTAAATAAGAGGTGAAAAAATTTCCTTTTGGATTTTCTTAATGTGCTTTAACATTATGACTCTTGACAAGAAGTCTTATTTTCTGAAGTAAAGATCAAACTACCATGCGAAAATAAAGTTAGGTTCATCACAAATATAAAAGAAGGCTAGTTATCTATTAATAAATATACTTAGAATAAATGGATGTACAAGATACGAAAAATAGCCTCTCAGTTTATTGAAATTTTAGAGGTAAACTGAAACGCAGTTAAATCTAATAAATTAATTTATCACAATATTAGTTGACACAGGTCAGTAACATACAGATGGTATTCTGTGGATAGTTTTCCTGCCAAGTAGAAGAAACGCCTATTATCTTAAACAGAGACCAATTCGAAAAGTCATAAAATGATTGAAAACATCGCGAATGAGATCAAAGTTACAAGGCAAGAATCACTAAACAAAATCCTAATCTCGGATCTCTTACAAAACAGAATAAACATAAAAGTTTAGGAAGTCGAATCGTACTGATTAAGTGCTGAATTATAACAATCACAAACCAACATTACACTATTCAAACTAACCTATGAGCACTGCACCACTATTAGGAAACGAAAAGTCGTAGAAACTAATGTTCCATAAAAATAAACACCTCAGTAACTTCATTAAAATTATATAACAAATTGAACCGGCATCACAAAGTCGACCTCAGAAACTGATAGCTTTACCATATTCTTACAACATCTCTGAAGGCATCACAAGGATTTTAGAACTGTTTCAAATCAGCGCTAGCCACAAAGGAGAGCAATTGTTTCACTTCAATTTGTCAAACAAAATAAAAAATTGAAAGAACACGAATGCAACGTCGTCTACAAATGAAATTGTACCGAATGTGATAAACACTACGCTAGATGAAGTGTAGATCCTCTTCACCTACACATGCAGAATGCTAGTCGTCAGTGAAACAATATAATATGATGTCATCAACTTCAAATCACGTTGTTGACCACGGGTATAAACCTGACTAGGAAAATTTTGAAACTCTAAATAAAAGGAATTCTAGAAACGTAGGATTCATATTAATCAAAACTCAACAGAAAATAGAGATGGACTATGTCTGTCAACCAGTGAGAAGAAGGCCAATCAGAAGCCTCATCAGAGGAGCGAGAAAGTGAACATAAATCCAAAGACGAACAAAAACAACCAATAAAAAACCAAGGTCATCAAAATTGACTGATGCAATACTTGTGTAATAACTGGTTGTGTAGCATCATCCTACGAGATGACCCCCTTACTTGATCAACATTGCCTAGTGAATATATTACTCAAAATTATTTACACCACGAGTTTAAAAGACATTCGTAGTACGTGATTAGAGTAAAATTTAAGACAAAATATTTTGTTCTAAAGTGATAGTACAATATCAAGCAGTTTTCAGAAACACCAATATCCTCAATTTTTCACGACAAAACTTTTAGCTTGTTAAATGAGTGAAGTACAGGTGCTCAGGTGAAATCCTGGAGATTGAAATTAAAAGGTTATGATAGGATTTATTATTAACTGGATATACTAGACTACTCGTAATAATTTTAATTCGTAGTAAGCCAAATGCACATGATAGGGTCCATCGGTTGACAATAATCAAATTTGAACTATCTTCTTCAAACAAATGCATTTGTGCAAATTTTCATCAACAATTGCTGGACAGAAATAATTAGACCAGTCAATTACTATACTATGTTTCATGACCTTTTACAATAAATAGAGTATTGTATCATTAAAATTAATGATAAGGATTGAGGCTTCATAATGTTAATTTATTTTCGATTAGAAAATGTTTTAAACGATACGATTTATGTGTCATCATAATGCTCAGTAAAGGGTTGCCTTCAGAACTAGTGGATGAGGAAAAAACTAAATTCAATTATCTTTTCCCTTCAATTTCAAAAATGTTTACAGGATACTACATCACATCTGTAAATCTAATTAGACTGACATAGTTACTGTTCACATATTTCAAGATAAGTCTTCGATTACCAGCTTCTTTTAAACATGTGATCAGAGCCATGTACAATTGTGATTAAAAAATAGAGAAAGATGATTGTAACTGCATGATTAGTGTATGTAGACTAAAACGCTATTCAGTTCAAGTAAATGACAACAACACACTATAAAAAACAGTTAGATTTCTCGAGTCTATTTAAACTAAATAGTTAAATAATAGAACACAATGACTGCATATAAGTGAGTGTATAAGATAGTCTATTGTTCGGGAACTGAAGACACTAAGAATCATCTAGACTTTTGAAATGGGATAGAACTAGAATTTCTAAGTTGACTTGTCTAATATTTAAGAATAAACGTCATTTATAGAAAATAGAGGAAAAGCATCATGTTTATTTAGTTGAATTAGAGTTAGGCAAGTGTATAAAGCTTGATCATGCATTTAAAAAGTCAAACGTTACCTAACGATAAACCTGGTTAAAATTGGATTTCAGCCAAAAACGAAAGGAAAACAAAAACTGAAGAAAGGAACCAAGAGGAAATCTGGGAAGGCTAAACGCAAAGGTCGGTCATCTCGGCAGAAAAAGCCTAAACATGAAATTGATATTATGAGCCTATGTGCCATGGAAAACTTGTACTACATCGCGCACAATGCACCATGTGCATTGATGTATCGTGGTTTTCGTTGGTCAAGGTTAAAGCCAAAACGAGGTAAGGGTAAGCGGAAAGGGAGAAAGAAGAGGAAAAAATAATTATCTTGACGCAGCACTCAACACCATAGAAGATGCTTCCACTGAGATGTTATCCTTTATTTATTTACTTATTTATTTATGTTCACAGATAATTTCTGTTGTTTATGACATATATTTCATAGCTTTTTCCATAGCATGTGCAAATAAAATTGTTACTAAGACTTATTTATGCTTTTTAACTATTGCAAGAAATCCAAATAAAGGCCTTTAGACCTACAAACTTGAATATCAAGGGGCACTAATATTTTCACAGTCAAAAACATGCACACAGCCGGACTAGCAATCATGAAAAGTTTAAAATCGGTATTGTCTTCACCAAGATAGAAATAATCCAAATATTGATTTATGAATCACCTAGTTAAATGATATAAAACTCTAGACCGAATGTTAAATTTTCGTAGAGTAAGTGATATGCAACTAAATTCTATTCACTATTTCGACAAAAGTGATCATGGTGTATTTTTTTTCAAAGCAATCAAAAGATGAATTATAGACTGAGCATACGTAGGTTGTCCAAAGTATACTATTCAATTAGTTCAGTTGTACGAAACAAATCTGATTTCCGTTGATAAATCGAAGATGGTATGGTTGCTTTTTCACGCACCTGACAGCTGAATAATTGAAATATGTAACATAACACAGTGCTGAACTTCACCGATTTCCTTATTCTTAGTTCACAGTATTCCGCATAGATGAGTAACATCAACGAGTCAAACTGGAACTTACTCTGTATAACACAATAATATAATATGAATTTCCAGAACCTGAAAATCAATACGATGAGGATAACAGCACGTATTCCCTAAAAATCTGCTGTTAATGGAATGAAACAAAATTTTTTTAGACAATTAGACGGAATCAAGATATCAAAAATATAAAACGAGAAGTATCGCGAAACTTTCAAAAAGAACAGGTAAAATGAGGCAAAGCTAAAAGTTTTCTATCCAAAAATCTAGTGAAATAGAAAATGTAATCCAGCTTCGTTTTGATAAAGCTCTTAAGTCATAATAATCCTGGTTTTCTAAAACAGTTAATCGAACCATTTAGTATTCCGTAGTGATAGACTAATAAAAATTCCCGTCTAACATTTAGTCGAAAACTGGAAGTCAACCTAACGACAGAATAAATTATGCAACAAGGAAACAATGACATAGTTTTAATGAGTAGAAGACTGAAGTTCTGAAATTTTATAAGCCGCCTGTTCTGTCATAGCTTTTCTGTAGGGAAGTCATTTGATTCGTACGTTAATCGACTGCTGATACGACTAGTGAGCCTAGATTTGACTGAGATTTTGTCGTTTTAAAAAGAAATGTATTCTTCAGTCTTTGTAAGAACAGCCAGTTCGTTCTTACTGCATTGTTGAAAATCGCGACGATCGGAACCAGTCCTCACCGTATAAAGTTCAAAGCCACTCAGTGTGAAGAGTACATGTAACTCAGAATATCACTGTCGATCACCAATCATTGTACTACTCTGCTAATATTCTGTTAAATTGAATGTTTAAAGTCCATATGCTTCATCGATTTATGTTTAAAAACCTAAATGCAAATTAAGGTCAACAATAAAAGTGAAAGGAATTATTGTTATTATTTTGCTAACACATAAAATGAAATGAAAAATTTGCACTATAGACCAATTCAATCGCCAAATAACTAATGACAAAAGCAGTGAGAAGGCAATATTTTAATTGAATAACTGAAAACAGATTAATTTACAAAATATGAATGCAAAAAGAAGCTTTTAATTATACATAAATTTCCACAAGTGTTAGAGATCCTCTCAAAGTTTTACGTTAGTAACGATTTTTGTGGAAGATGAAGTCCAAATGGAGAAGCGATTAAACTTAACCACATAATCATGTATTTCACCGGATCATTAAGTTGAGTAGGCTGCGAATAAAATACTTCCTTCATGAGATCAGCAGTTTTACAAGGATGGAACTCATAAAACGGGATTCCGAGGCGTGGATGTTCGATTTCACTAAGGGCATGTAGGGATAGTGGTACTTCAGAAAGAGGAAACACAGATGAACGGAAATTTTCACTCCACAGTTTGTCATGATGTAATAAACGGCCACTTTTTGTCTGGAAACGCATTAAAAGAACAGGCACTTGATAACTATGGCTGAAAACTATACGATACTCTGCTAAAATTTCACCCGACAATAAAGATTCATTTGTTACTAAACAGCTGGTATTTGATTTGCCAAGTAGTATTGGCTTTCTGTAGACCATTTCCAATTCGTCCGGATATCCAACAAACTCATCAATAAACCATTCATCACCACTGTCACTATCACAGATTAAATTGTTTTTTAAGGTTTGAATAGCATCTTTATATGCTATTAATGTGAGTTGGCCACTTTGATGATTCCTAAAAAACAAGGAACATGAAAATTGATGGTTAAATTATCTGACTAAAACATATGGGTTGAAAAACTCAACTTTGCAAATGGAATTAACTTGCGTAAAAAATTGTAGAATCCACAAGAACATTAAACATAAGCCTAGAAAAAGAATAAGTGTGTTAGCATCATTTTTACCAATTTCAAAGAATGTTTTGCACAGTTCTTAACCAGTAGTTTTTAATTTTTCTGCAACACTACCAAGAAGCTTCAATTTTATTAAGAGACTAAGACCCAATCTCAGTTATTTTGAAGAATACCGTCACGTCCTTTTTTAATCTTTCTTTTTCAAACTACTAATTTAGCCAACATTGTGAGAATCAGTAAGTTGCGAATCACAACGTGTAGCCTGTAGTCCAGCCACTTCAGTATATTCAACTTTGTAACCTAACCAAGTGAAAATTTCTCTGCCAAAGACTATACATCTGGCTAATTTATTGATATTTTTCGAACTCTTGAAGCTTTTGGTTAACTCAAAGTATGGTGTGTTAACTAGCCACCATTACTTTCAAAAAATAATGATCTTCATTTTCTCATTGGTGACTATCATTTGTTGTGCAAGCTATCCTAAAACTTTGTGTGCACCTGGGTAGCTTGTGATTGCTGGTGGTGGGGTGCTTATTTACAATCAATCTCTAGTTAAAGAAATCCAGAGGGAGTTAAACTTTCCTAGATCCTTTTTGTTGCTATTGTGAAGTTGATCTGCGTGTAAAAACTCAGCTATACGATGTCAGTAAAATAAAAACTACTATATCACACAATCACCGACAGCCTGGCTTAGTGAGAAACAATAGCATGACTTTATGAGGGTTAAAAGGTAGAAAATGGTATTTTTCTCAAATAAGTCAGACTGACGTTAGTCGCGGCTTAGACAACTCAGTGGTAACGTTTCTGACTGTGAATCTAGGTGACACGGGATCGAACCCATCAGGGAGCATCAGTTCCCTCAAGGTATATCTTGCTGACAAGTGCCATGTGGCACAAAATGTAGGTCCAGGGTTTCCAGTTGACTACCTCCAACTACCATCCTATCTCAACATAGTGCACGCAATGTCGATTCACCTAAACTGGTCGATAGGATTCGATATGCACTAAGAGGGACCTGACATACATGACGTTAATTACCACCCAGTGATCAATCAATTGTAAACAGTTCGACTTATTGCTAACTAGCACATAGATTGTTGTGCATACACAAAGTACCTGTTATTTACAAGTATTGATACATAAGAAAAATAGCTCAGAAGCTACCTACGGGTAATTTGCTGATTCGCCAACCACAGTGTGCTGATTATTCCAAAAGTACTTGTAAAAGTGAGATACTCCAAAAAACCATTTCACTGAAAAGCTTGCTCCATTTATATTTCAATTAAAATGTCGTATGTCACGAATTTGGCGAATAGCAAATTACAAAACGGGACAAAAAATATGTTGCACAATTCTTCAGTGAAAAGATGGTCGTGATTTTTTTAAAAAGGGTTTATCCAATATGTGCCCTAGATGGAATAAAGACACACAACTTATTTATTCTTACTGTTCAAAACGAATCCTTTCTACTTTCGCACCGACATTTTGCAAAAAGCATGATAGTTTGAGGTAGTCAACTGGAAACCCTGGACCTAGGTTTTGTGCCACATGGCAATTCTACAATGCGGGAGACGGTTTAATTGTTCGTTTATCAAAACAGAGCGACATATGGCTTAAGAGATTTCTCATACACGAAGTCTCCAGACTAAAATCTAGTTTTTATGAGCAAGGCGTTTCCCGAAACCACAATAAAATACTACCACCATATGAATGGCAGCTTTTTAACACGGTCAACTATACTTTTGGTAGTATAAGAACTTCACTGAGATTTAACTTATGTTAATGTGTGATTCATATGATAAGATGACATATTTGTGGGCACTGAAACTTAGGATTAGTTCGAAACACTGTATTAAGATAAGAATATTTACTCGAACAGTGGGACCTATGTATGAACCAACAAAATTGTGTACCATTTATTTACCTAATAGTACCATGGAAATGGTTTTGTAAGCCTTACATATGCGCTTCAAAAAGGTCATTTAGTGTTGTTGTCGAGTCGATAAGAAATGAAAGTTGGCAGAGGGTAAACAATCGGAGAAGCGGTCAGCAGAAGGTAAGGTGGGACTACACGTCCCAAACTTACTTTTCCTAGTATTTAGTTATTAGCAAAGTAGTACTAAGAATTGTTTTCTTAATCATCTTTAGGTCAGATCTGTGCCCTAGAAACATTCAAATATCCAGATAAGTAAAGACTAGATGTTCATTTATTCTATATGATCAGTCTCAAGACTGTGACCAGGTAAATAGTATGTAGTGAGCTCAGTTAGCAACAGATATTTCAATTAGTGAAAGTTATTTTAAGAACTTCGAGCCGAGAAATATAAAATGATAATAGTAGACACTGTAAGTATTTATTTTGCACCGTACTGACGCAGCTGATTTCAAAGAAATTCAGAATTTACCACGATCACTAGTTTGATTACGATATTTAAATGATTTGTAATTGGCATTAAAATAAACATGAGCAGGAATTTTGCATGGCAAACTAAAAAACGGAGAATGAATGTCAGCAGTGAGCAATCAACACGGAGGTGGAAGACAGTAAAGGAATGAAAGAGAGCAAATATTAGACATGGTGAAAGATAGGTAAGACATCAAGACAAAAAAAGGAGTTTCAGTACATAAATATCACTGACTCCAGAAGTCTACCGATATAGGTATTTTGAACTACATCATCACTCATACTCTTGTAAGAGTATGTCTGCAGAACCTAGAGA